TATGGACATCTTGGCTCTTTCCATAGTTTGGCTATTGTGGACATTGCTGCTATAAACATTGGGGAGCAGGTGCCCCTTCGGATCACTACATTTGTGTCTTTGGGGTAAATACCCAGTAGTGCAGTTGCTGGTTCGTAAGGTAGCTCTGTTTTCAACTTTTTGAGGAGCCTCCATACTGTTTTCCAGAGTGGCTGCACCAGCTTGCATTCCCACCAACAGTGTAGGAGGGTTAGGCTATTTTAAAATTTATCTTTGTGTCCTTAGTATTTGGCACAATAAATGTCTGTTGAATGTTATTTATATGGACCATTCCTTACTCTGCATCACCTCTGCTCTTACCTAAAGTAATATCTCCTTTACTTCTCATTTTCAGGGAATGATGTGTTCCATGAATGTGTATTTTCCAGACAACTGAAATTTACTTCCTAAAGTATCAAAATCTGCTTTGGGTGGGAATTTATTTTTCTAAGTTTTTACATACTTGCTTGCTCTCGTAAGTAAAATATACTAAGCATAATGTGTTCCTTGATGACTTTCCCCTGAAAGCATTAGGGTTATGCTGGTCTGGAATTTGTGACATCCTCTGGGGCCGCTGATGGGACAGGGCTTTTTGCTTCCACACTGAAGAACTCCATCCTTTTCTGGTTTTTGAGTTCTTGTGCTTGCTTCTTGTATATTGGTCACCGTTTCTGGCTGTGGGTATGTTTGCTCTAACCACATTGCCCTTTACTCCTTTTATATGCTTTTTAATGGATACTAAAATTACAAAACTAATATATGTTCACTGAAACACAAACAGAAGCATTTGAAGCAAAAAGTCCCTTCTTCATTCCTGCTCCCCCCACCACTCACCCACAACCCCACTCCCACTCCCTGGCATAACTATTGTTGGCAGTTTAATGTATATCCCTGTAGGTCATTTCTGTCGATATGTGTGCATACTTGGGTACATACAAATATCCCATCACTCTACATGCGCTGTACGCTGTTATACGACTTGCTTTTCTTCCCACTTGACAATATACAATAGGTATACTTGCATGTCAGTACATCCAAGTCTATCTCCTTCTTTTTAATGGCTGCCCCTTTTTAATTTGACGATCTTAATCAGCTGTGAATGGGAAAGCCAAATAATCAAGCTTATTAGAATTGTACCTAAGAAAGAGTAAATCGGCTCTGAGTGAAGGCTTGAGGAATTCTCCTAGGAGTAAAATGTGTTAACTCTAGTGCAAGGACTTTGTAATGTTTATTTTGGTTATTCAGGGACCCCTTTTGCTTATTTCCTGGTCCATTGTGTTTTGGATACCTGAGGTTGCTGGACAATGACCTGTGAATTCTTGAGGTATAACATATTCAATTTTGCATTATATAGTTTTGCTATGATTTTGTGGATTTAATTTTTTCGTTATTTCATCTAATTCTTAAGTACTTGCATCATAGTACAGAGCACTGAATATAGCAACAGTTAAAAATATTTGGCTTGATGATTGACATAGGGCTTCTCATCTATATCATCTACCTGTGAGAATGTCCACTGGATTTATGAGAACTCTGGAAGCTGATCTGAGGAAGCCTTTTGCTACTAATGAACATTAAAGTACTGATAGTATCTTGTCCTATAAATAATAAAATCCTATTTCAGATTTATATAGGGTCTTCCTTCTGCTTCATTTACCATAGAAAGTGGCTAAATCCTTTTGTCTTTTTTTTAAGTAGACTCCACGCCTAGCATGGAGCCCAACAGGGGGCTTGAACTCATGACCCTGAGATCAAAGTCATGACCCTGAGATCAAGATCTGAGCTGAAATCAAGAGTCAGAGGCTTAACTGACTGAGCCACCCAAGCACCTCTATCTTTTTTTATTTTTAATTTTATTTTTTAAGTAATCTCTACACCCAATGTGGGGCTCAAACTTAAACCCCGAGATCAAGAGTCACATGTTCTACCGACGGAACCAGACACCCCTAAATCCTGTTGATCCTATCTTTAGATATCACTGCAATGTGTCTCCTCTTCTCCATTCACTGCCTCAGTACCTTGGTTCAGGCCCTACTAGATCCCAACTGACTTACCTGTCATAAACTTCTTAACTGGTCTTCCTGCCTCCTGTCTAACTTCTACCACACTCACCCAGTAACTAGTACTCTTTTCAAGCAGAAATCTTACCATGTCACACCCCTGAAAAACCTTCTAGGGGTTTCTCATCAGTTCTAGGATAAAGTCCACTTTCCTTAACTTAGTATACATAGCTTTTTGTGATTTGCCCCACTTGTCCTGATTATCTCTTGCTGTTCAATGCCTCATACTTCAATTTCTAGGGAAATCAAGTGGTTTATAATTCTTTCAACATATCACACAAGAGAATTCTCAACAGACGCTTGTTAAATGAATGAATGAAACACCCCCTTATAGCTGGGATGACCATTCAAACTGCTCAGCTGAGGATGGTCCCTGTTCACACCGACCATCGCAGCATAATTACTAATATTGCTCCTTTTCACTATCAGACTTGTCTCACACCAATAAATTACATGGTCATCCCAATTATAGCAGCCATCAAATTGTTTTCTACCTCTAGTTTCCTCTACCAGATGGTGAGCTCTTCGGGGGCAGAAATTTTATTTGTTCATTTTATTTTTATATCCTTATGTATGCATTCAATGAAAAGATTGCCACTGTTAGATACTGAGGATATAATGTTGAATAAAACAAAAATGGCTCTTGCCCTCAGGAAGCTTACAGTCCAGGAGGAAAGAATAATCTAATGGGAAGAAGAGCACCTAATCCAATACATGCTGCTGTGAATGAATGACTAAATGTGGATTAAAATTTAGAGGCTCCTAAACAAACAACCCTAATCCTATGAATTACAGATACAGAAATAGTCATAACCATAGAACTCTAGATTGATCAAATCAACCATTTACTTAGAGTTGCTAATTAAGAATTTGAAATACAAGCCACACGTGTACACCTAAACATACATGACCTGTAGATGCTACCTTAATGTTAAATGTAACAAAAAAGGACCATGCAGTAATAGCAAGCAAGAGACTCTGAGGGCTCTGTTTTTATAGAGATAGTTTGTAATCCTGTGTGGTTCTTTGCTGAGTGGATTATCAGTATGTACCCTACCCCTGCCCCCCCCCGTTTTTTGTTTTTTTTTTTCAGATGGGAAATCTGAGGTTTCAGAAACTGAGCCATAAACAAAGGAATGATTTCCTAAACCAGGATTAGATTTTGGTTGGGCTTTGCTTTCAGAGCTAGGAGTACCTGCTATCCTAGACTTGTTAACCATGTTCCATGGGCAAATTGCAAAAACCCTTTCAACCTCAGTTTCTTATTTTATATATAAAATAATGATAATATTGTCTCCAGAATTAATCTAGGGATTAAATGTGGTTATGTAAAGGCATTTAGTCCTGTAACCTGGCTCTTAGAAGACATTCAGGAAATGTTAGTTCTCCATCCATTTTCCCCTATTTATCTTTCTGTCCTTGGTGCATTAAAAAAATGATATAAAATGTTTTGAAAAAAAGAACTGTAATATAAATACCAATACAATTTTTAATTCTTGATCCTGGGTGCTAAACTAGGCCCTCTCCACCATCTCTAAAAGTTGTAGTTTTATTTATATTCATCTGTTATCTTATTGTTATAGGCAAAGACCCTGAGAAGCATTCCAGGAACAAAGCAGTAGGTAAGATTTTTCTGGAAAAAGGCAGAGTTCATGAGGTAGCCAGGATTTGGGGGGCATTCAGCTGCTTGTGGGTGTCAGCCTTCAAGATTTACCCATTTACTCTCCGTCTTTTGGTTCAAGAAAGGAAGAAGAGCACCAAACCATCCATTGAGATCTCTCGGGGTGGGTGAGGGGGGTGTGATGAGGGGGAAAGGTGAACAAAAGCAAGAGCTCTGTTCAGTTACCACAATGTCCGGCGACCCCAAGACTTTCGAGCTCTTTCGTGAGGGCCAGCAGGTCTGTTCTCCAGGAGTGCCCTGGGTCTGGACTCCATTTCCCAGAGTCCCTTAGTGCCCTAATGTATTCAGTGCTCAGAGTGCCTGTATGTGTGTGAGTGTGAGAGAATGTGTGCGTGTGTGTGCGCGCGCGTGTGTATGTGTGTGTGTGTGTGTCTCCGAGTCCCTGGGAGAGTGGAGGCTCATTCACTGATTAGAGCCAGCGCTGAGAGGCAGCACTGCTCCTTCTCTCACACCAACCGAGTCTCTTGATCTGTACATGCAATCCCAGGCAGCTCGCGAACACAAACCCGGGGCCAGCCGCCTGCTGCTGCTGCCGCTGCCGCCGCCGCCGCCGCCGCTGCCTCCGCCGGCTCTGCGCACCCGGGACTTTTCATGCACCACACTCACTGCCTCCTTCCCTCCGTGTCCTGAAAAGTGCGACCGTTCTCCCAAGGAATTTCCACGGCAAGTATGGAGACCAGAAAGGGGTGTGGGTGTGTGCGCGTACACAGAGGGGTGGGTGCGAGAGCGGCGGGTTGCTCGGGAACCTGACTAACTTTCCGGGTCCGTTTCCTAGGGATTCGGGCGGCTCCCCCCGACCGGGGCAGGGGCTGGGACCCGGGCTGGCGCGTCTCAGATCTCCGCGACGGTGCCTCCCGGCGTCTGTGCCCTACGCGCTCCGTGCGCTGCCTCGCTCAAACTTTCCGTCTTGAGTTTTCCTTAATGTGTTTTATTTGGGGGGTGCGAGGGGGAGGGACCAGACGCGAGAATTGGACAAGTAGGGAGGGTGAGGGGACAGCCAGGGAAGGGGAGCAGGACTTCTTTTCTCCATCTTTTAATAAGCCCCGTTCCCACTTTGTTTGGGTCGATGGGGAGATAGCCCTGTCGCCGGGCTCCCCCGGGTACCCCGCAGTGATTTCCGGCAGGGCCCGGCCCGGGCGGTGCTCAGTGGGGAGCCCGAGGCGGCGGGCAGGATGGGGAAGGGGAGATCCTAGTGAGGAGGCTCCCCACCGCCCCCACACAGCACACCACCGGCCGGGTGGGGTACCCGCGCACCGCTGGGAGCCTCGGGCCCCCGGGTGCTCGGCTCACTTTTTCCCAGCGGGGGCGGGTGTGAAGGGCGTGGAGGGCGGTGGGGGTGGGGTGGGGGGAGTCGCGGCGCGCAGGAAGGAGGCAGGTGCTGGCACTGAGGTGGACCGTTCTAAACGCAACCGGTAAACTCCCTGCTCCGCCCGGCCGGACCGGCCTGGCCTTAGAGCAGCCGGACCCGTGGGGGGTCTCCCGGGATTTTCGGGGTCGGGACTCTAGCCCCGCGGTTGTACGGAGCCGGGCGGGAGGACCGCCGTATAGACAGCCGCGCGTGGCTCTTTTTGTAGTTTTATTTGAATCTTAGACCTGCCTTAAAGAGTAACAATTTCTCTTTCTCCGACTTGAGAACAAAACTTTTCAGCGAGCACGCAGGTCGCTGCCGTCCTGCAGCCACCGCCGCCGTGCTCGTCAGCCCCTGCGGAGCGACCTTCTCCGCCCGGAGCCGGGCCCCGCCACCGCGGTCCCGAGCCTCCGGCCGGCCCCCTCCCCAGCCCCGGGCTTTTCAGGGCTCGGCCTGGGCGTTTCGCCTTTGTGCTTTGTAAGGGAAAGCCTTTTCTTCCAGGGCACAACAAACTTGGGCGGAGAGCTTCCGTGTGGCCCCCCGGGCTTGGCCGCCTACGGTGGTGAGACCATCCGAGGGGATGCCCGGTCCGTCCTTTGCTCCACGAGCCCCTCCAAGAGCTCGAGGCCCAGGTGGACCCCAGCCGGCGAGGGCGCGCGGGAGCCCCGAAGTAGCGGGGGCTCCGGCTGCCCGGAGGCAGAGGAAAAGCTCTCGTTTCCCGTTCGGAACGCGCTGCTTTTTTTTGGGCCCTGGCCGTGGCTCCAGTGGAGGGCCAGGGCCCGGGCCCCGAGCCGGGCGCGCGTCGCACCGGGTGGGTGCATGGGGCGGGGGCGCTCGGTGTGGGGTTCAGCCCTGCCTGGCGTGGCCGGGCCGGGCCGTCCGGGGTCTGTGGCCTTGCGCCGCCTCCCTGCCCCAGGAACAGCAGAGAGGGAGGACTCGGGCGCTGTCTGCCCGCGATGCCCACCAGCCACGTCTCGCCTCCAGACCCCGCTCCGGACTCGGCTTGAGGGGCAAAGGGAAAAGAAAGGAAAAATAAAGAGGAAAAAAGGGGCGGGCAGTGAGGAAGCGGCGGGTCAGACTGGAGGGAGCAGAGCAGCCAGGGATGCCCGGCCTCCTCCTCTGCCGGTCTCGGGGGTTCTTGCGGAAAATGGAAAATGAGCCGAGGGGGGAAGGCAGAAAGAGCGTCGAGGAAGAGATGCGGGAGTCCTCCGTTCCCATCCCTCCTGGCCCGCGGAAAGCCGGCAAAAGTGGCGTGAGTTCGCTCGCTGCGATCCGGGGCGAGGTGGGGGAAGGCCGAGGACAGGGCGGCGCCGCCCCGCTGGTGACCGACGGGGCCGGGGCCGGGCGCCCAGCGAGCGGGGACACACACCTGTTCTGCGAGCTGCGTCGTGTGCGGCGGCCGGACGGCGTCGGCGGGAAAGGCAGAACTCTCCCTCCTTCACCCCAGGCCCGCAGTCCCGGAACCCGGAGGGCCCGGTTGCCCCGCGCCGGCCCGCGTTTACGGGAGCGCCAGAATCCATGAGCCCGGTGGCTGCCCGCCGAAGCGGTGGCGCGCGGCGATGAGACCCGGGTGACCCGCGGGGCGGGGTTGTTCAGGGGCACGAGGTCCTTGGACTTTGATCGAAGGCAGCCTTCCCCCAGCCCCTGTCCGGCGGGCCCTGCCCGGCTGTGGACCTGGGCTCCTTGCACTTGTCGGTTCTTCCCTGGCCGGCGCCCTGGTTCCCCAAAGTTACTAGTGGCTTGTTTCGTGCGGAGGTTGTTGGGACCTAAAGTATTCTTTGTGCAATGGCAGCCGAAAGCTGGAGGGAGAGGTCAGGCCAAGGAGTGGTGGGCTCGGCCCTGCGCTGGCCCCAAGTTTTTGCAGGTTTCGCCTTCACCTCTTCTCCCTCCGTTTTCCCTAAAAGAGTTGCTTTTCCCTGGCTAAGACTCCTACCGGCTGAATTTTACACCCGCTTAGCTGAGCTGGCAGCCCCGCAGCCCCGCACCCTTCGACAGGCCGGGCTATTTCGGATTCGCACCCGTTGGCCAAGCCCGGCCTGGGTCGGGGTCCAAATCTGGGACCGATACCCGGCCACGTCTGAATCTCAGGCGTTGGCCCCAGCCTTTGGAATAGTGTTAAGCTTATGCTTCCTGAGCTCTTGCATATGGTGGTAAAATTTCTGTTAGAGCGGTGTTTCCAAATACCCCCTGGGCATTTGGTGTGCGGGAATTCTCTTCAAGCGAAGAAGTCTGTGAACTTTAAAAAAAAAAAAAAAAATTCTTTCCTGAGTTCTTCACAACCCCCCACTACCCTGGCCCCATTTCCCATTGTTCTCTGCTTTTTAAGTTGCCTGTTAATTTTTTAAAAGTTTATTTATGCAAAGGAAAAATATCGTTTAATTTGTTCTATTATTTTAATTCCTGGGTTTTGGAAACTATTCAGAGACCACAAAAATGTCACCTGTTGTAATAAGCAGAGGAGTGTTGTGTGTGCGTTTTAATTGCCAGCAGAGTCGTAGTTTGGTGGGCGTTCAGAGCTAGGGCTCCGGGAAAGAGGCTTTGCAGCTTTTCTTTGTGGCAGTCATTTGCAAGTGGGTTTGGCTCCCAGCTGCAGGAGCAGCAGCGCCGCTTCCTTCTACGCGGTTCCCAGCGCGGGTCAGGAAGCCCAGACCCTGGACAGGGATGGTCAGAGGCCGGGGTGGGAGATTGCCCACTCTCTGAGACTTTCTTTCTGGCTTTCGGTTTTTCAATGCGAAAGTGGCTAGTTCGCGCCGGAGAGCGCGGAGCGCTGCTCATCAGCTCAGCTTCAGACATTTTCACGTTCCAAACGCCAGTTTCTTCGTTTCATTTGTCTTGGTTCTGGCATGTTTAACCACGCAATTAGTAATCTCACTAATTATTCAGTTAGCTGGCGTTTTGTAATCACTTTAAACCAGGGTCGGGTGTGTGATTTGACAAGCAAACAAACTCCCACCCATACAGACCTGAACCAAACCCATCACGTCAAGGATTTGAAAATTTTAAAACTCAATATTTGTTGGTCCCTCCGTCCAACCTCACTGCCTGCCACACAATTTATTTAGCTTCGTGGATTGATCCCTCCTCCTTGTTTAGTTAATTCAACAAAGACTTTTTGCAATCTGTTTGGAGTTTGTCTGATGCCGTGGAAAAGTAGCTGATGATTTATTTGGTTGCTTTTCGATTTCTGTCTTCAGCCCTTCTTTCTCCTCCTTTCAGCGGGGATGTCAGCTGTTATTACTTCCTATTGATCCCTTTGCAAAGTGAGAAGTGAACTAAAATTAATGTCAATTCCACTGCTCGGATCAATAGCTGGAGTTATTTTAATCTGGATTTGCACGAAGTGCTAAATTAAAAAAAATCAGCATAGAGGCAGAAAAGTAACAGTTACTTACTTTCCCTTTGCCTGATTCTTTACAGTCACCCAAATGCTCCATCAAGCTGATTATCTTACAATCCATATTTTTTTAATTAAGAGGGTCAGTTAGTTTTCTTATTTTGGGTTCTGTGTTTAAACCCATGACATTTTGACATTGGGAGTGTATTAACTATAGATTTTCATAATGACTGTGGTCTGCTGAAGCCTCATCTATACAAGTTGTTAATGTGAGGAGGAGGTAAGAAAGAAAAGGAAAAAGAAAAAAAAAACACACTCCCCCTTCCCCCACAGAGACCAACGCCCACACAGTGGAGTAAAAGAGATGTGGCCTGGAAAAATATTGTTGATTTATTTTCAGTATAATGAAGTTTCAAATGAATAACCAGGTTTGAGTGATTCACCGTGTTCTGTTGGAGTGTCCGGTGCTGTCGCCAGATTACTAATTTATGAAACTCATTTAACATAATGAGGTGATCCAGGAAGTAAAAACAGAAAGTGAATTCTCTGGGCAATTGGTTATTTGGGGGGACAACATTCCACCCTTCATCCCCCCCACCCCCAGTGTACTATGTTTGTCCTTTTCTCCTGCTTGCCTCATGTAATACTGCTTGTTGAGAGACAAGTAGTTAGTTATTTCTGTTATGAAGAGCTGCTTAGAACCCTTGGAACAGCCCTGGACCCACTTTAGAGCGTCCATGTTGTGTGACCATTAATCTGACTTGAAAACAGCCAAGAACAGGATTCCCAGACCAGACTTGTCAGGCTAACTGGCTGTCCTTGGCAGATCATTCCCTGCACTGCTATAACTTGACAGGAAAGTTATTTAAAATTTGGAAGAGAGAAAAATCCGTTAATGTGAGATACATAATCTGGTAATTTAGCAATGATGTCTATAAGGAGAGATGCCAAATGAGGAAGCAGTCTGATGGTGTGCACTCATCTTCCCAATTAATAACAGTCATTGACACGTCTGCTACAGGATGAGAGAAGGAAATACTCTCTTTGCACTGCATTAAGCCAAGGGGATTCATCTACAGTTTAACTGAGGCTTCTCTATTTGAGGGAATACCAAAGATACTCCATTATCTAGGTGTTTTTTTTTTTTTAAGGGAGGGGGCAAATTCTTATTTGAGCTATGACTCTCGATTTAAAGATTATAATTTGTAGCAGATGGTGATTTTTGGTTACACTTTGAGTTTCATTAAGTTTCTGTCTAATGTATATTTTTGAAGCTAATAAATTCTAGTACTCATCTTATGTTATCCTGACTTTTGATATATAGCCCTTCTCCCATTCCCCAACCCCCTACTCAAAATAAATTTTGAAATGGAATCAGTGGCTATGGAAATGTACAACCTAAATTTAAAAGGGAAATTGAAGGAAGTCTCTCCCAACTCCAATTTGTTCCAGGGGTCTTTATCAGACATCAACTCTGACTGGGCTCAATAAGCAGAGCAAAATAAGTCAGAAATTTTGTTAACATTTTACTCCAAATGTTAATGGCAAATTCAAGGCTGTTTACAAATCTACTTAAGAGCGAGTGCATTAGTAACTAAAATTACCGATCCGTTCTTTGCTGCCCCTGGAAGACAGCCGCTTCTAGAGAACATATGCCAAAGGCACCCATTATGGTGTTAAATATTGTCGGAGATGCCAGGCATTTTCCTGATGAAGATTTTGTTCCTTCTCAGAAAAGAGAAAACCTGTATGATTAGAGAGGGGTGTGCGTCAAAAATAATATTGCTGTTGTCTCTTCACATAGCACTTTTTTCTGGAAATAGCCTTAGATGATACATGAAGATGTGTGTTGATGTATGTGCCAATGTGTGTGATTTATCCACACGTACAATTCGTACCGACTAGCATGTACAGATGGTCTAGATGTGCTTGATTTAGGAATTTTTCAGCACCAGGGTGTTGTCAGGGGAGATGAAGAGAGAATGTGTTTGTGGGGGGTCATATAGGTAGAACCTTGCCTCTGTTTGAACATCAGGGCTGCCATGAGAGGTGTGTGCAGGTGGAAACCCTTTAAAATATAGACCCCACCTAATCTACTGGGTGACTTGGCCTTCCAAAGCTCATTTGCTCAGGGAATATTGTATTTGGAGGTTTTATGCTTTTTTTTCCTTTGCTGGGCTCAGGCGCATTTCACCCGGAACGTGTAGGGACCAAAGTCAGCTACGCGTACATCACAGTAAGTTGTCTATTGATTTTCCTGAATGAAAATGGTCTGATGCTGCTGCCCACTGGCTCCTAAAGCCTGTGGTGTCTCTTGCCCGAGCATCTGTAAGCCAGAAGGATGGTGTTTCGATCACTTGGGGTTTCCCTTTTTTTCCTCCCCCCTTGACCGTCCTCCCCCCTCTTTTTTTCTCTTTGCTGTTTCCGCAGGTCTTAGAAGGGGATGATTCCCCAGTAATATTCCCTGCCCTGATCCAAGGTGCCGCTCGGCCTCCCTCCCAGGGAAGACTGCTTCTTGTGTGACACGAGCCTAAGAAAGAGACTCCGATGGACTTACACCGGGCAGCCTTCAAGATGGAGAACTCATCCTACCTCCCCAACCCGCTGGCATCCCCAGCACTGATGGTCCTGGCGTCCACGGCTGAGGCCAGCCGCGATGCTTCCATCCCTTGTCAGCAGCCACGACCCTTTGGTGTACCTGTCTCAGTAGACAAGGACGTGCATATTCCATTCACCAACGGTTCCTATACCTTTGCCTCTATGTACCATCGGCAAGGTGGGGTGCCAGGCACTTTTGCCAATCGTGATTTCCCCCCTTCTTTACTACACCTCCACCCTCAGTTTGCTCCCCCAAATCTAGATTGCACCCCAATCAGTATGCTAAATCATAGTGGAGTGGGGGCTTTCCGTCCCTTTGCTTCCACTGAGGACCGGGAGAGTTATCAGTCAGCCTTTACGCCGGCCAAGCGACTTAAGAACTGCCATGACACAGAGTCTCCCCACTTGCGCTTCTCAGATGCAGATGGCAAGGAATATGACTTTGGGACACAGCTGCCATCTAGCTCCCCCGGTTCACTTAAGGTTGACGATACTGGGAAGAAGATTTTTGCTGTCTCTGGCCTCATTTCGGATCGGGAAGCCTCTTCTAGCCCAGAGGATCGGAATGACAGATGTAAGTACTTTGGTGTGAGCCTTCCCTACCCCCAGCAAACCCTGCCTCACAGTAGTGTTCAACAGGTCGCTGGCAGTTTTCATGCTCCTAGGAATGGGGAGGGCCAGGTACTTCCCACTCGATGGCTGCAGAGTGCTAACATTTACTTGTCTCTTGTCGATGAGCATTGACAGTTCTGGGAGGACATGTTTTTCTGAAGGTAGCCAGAAGCAAGTCGGCCTCCACGCTGCCTCTCCCTGGGGCATGATTGGCTTATTCTCTGGGGATTCTGGAGTGAAGAAGGGTGCTATATATATATACTGAAGTGAATGTCATTTTATTAGAAAGCGTAGGTTCCTAGGAAATTTGGGGGGGGGGCCTGAAGAAACTCATCCATGCCTCCTCTCTTTGCTATCCTCATTATATTTCTCTGAGCATTTTTTTTTTTTAGCTTTTCCATTGTATCACATCCAGTGGACTCCACGTGATTTTATTTTCCCAACTCTCAGCCCTTGTCCACATGAGGCTATTTTTCAGAGAAGGACAAAGGTGTCGTCAATCACCATAAAGCATTTCAAACAGCTGTGTTTTCCTTGCGATAAAGCCGACTTCTCTTGGGATTTAACAGGTTTGCTGGATGCTTATCCTGGGGCTCACTTTTAGGACTAGACACGGTTGACCTGTGTGACTGCTCCATATTTGATGTTCACAACAATTATTAATTTCTGCTTATGGAACAGTTTTCTCGTGTTCTTTCAGTGCCTCGTTGAGCTTTGGCGACCCTCGCTAATAGTTGGAACTAAACCTTTATTTGGAACTTGTAGACCAGGAGTGCTGAACCCTGCAATCTTCTCCTCTAATAGAATCAGAAAATAATTGTGTTCTAACGCTTTTGGGCTATGGGTAGGCAGAGCAGTTTTCTTCAAGCCTGGTGAGAATTTATGAACTGAGGGTGTTTTTCCACCCAACCCTTTGTTCTAAGGTTTGCTTTATTTTATTTTCTTAAGAAAACTACATCTGAGGTTTGCTTTCCCCTTCTCTATTTTTTTGTGCTCCTGTCCTCTCTATAACCACCAACACAAATACCTTTTTTTTTTTTCTCTTCTCTTTATGATGCCGAGGAGAGTAATAGAGACATTGCCACTCTCTCCCCTGTCGGCGCTGCTTCCTCAGGCTGTCTCCTTGAATTAGGCACTGTGTTAACTTTCCTGCGCTAAAAGGCATCTGCCTAAACCCAGCGTACCTTTTCAATAAAAGTCATCATAAAATCAACCTGCCTTGTAAATCCATCGCTCTTTGGTTTTGAAATATGTTGCAAGTGTGTCTTTTATGTCAGCGTCTGTAAGCCCGAGACCTCCCCACTTCAGGGACAAGCTGCCAGCACGAGGGCCCGTGTGTTCTCTTACTTTGCCTGGGCTCTTCTTCCTCTGCCTCTCCTTCTGGACAGCTGACGTGTGCATTACCATCTTGCTTTCCGGGTATACCTGCTGAAGACACTGGCGTTGGGTTGGATCTGTTGTGTTTTACTTCAGTGCAGTTTTCATTTGTCAGTGTGCAAGTGATCAAGGCAAGCTGTAATCTGACCTCTGGCTAAAGCTGGCCTGGGTGAGAGTGCGACAGATTCTGTCCCTTTTTGCTCCAAATACAAGTTGAAGATGCAATCCTCTCAAACCTAACAGTGCTGCAAAGTAACATCTGGAGATCAAGATTCCTTTCTTCTCACCCAACAGATCTGGCTGGTCTCCATTTTTCTCTCTTTTTAGCCCAAACCTGGGTCAGACCCCCAGAGCAGGAGGAAGCTTGTTAGTCAAGTCAGAACTCATAGATGTGTCTATCCATTCCCCCTCTGAGTGTCAAAGCCATAACTCTTCTGTTTGCCTGGTTTGCATTGTGTGGTGGTGCCATCCCCCATGGAGTTGGATCTCTCACACAGGAATACGCCTGGGTGGAGAAAAATTAAATGAGTCTATCTCCCAAAGTGAAATGGAGTTCTGACCTTGAAATTAATGAGATTCTGATCAGAAGAGTGGGGAAACTTCTTTATTTCAAATTGTAGTGTTATAGAAATTGGAACCCTTTCCCCTTTTATTTGCTTAAAATATTTTTCTTTAGAGAGTACTTTGTCTTCTCTTTTTTCTCTTACCCAAACATAAAACCTAGAGGTGTGTCTTTGAGTGTAGGACATTTTGCACAACCACATTATTATCTAGAGTTGCATTTGTGACTAATCTTTAACAAGAAACAAAGGTGCAAAGTGAAGAGGAGCCTCTTAGGCTGTGATAGCCCTGGATCTGGGCTCCTTCCTCCCTTTCTTTCCTTAGGTGGCAGAGCAGCCTTCCCAGGGCTGTATTGGGTAGCGTTTGTGCTTTTGATTTTGAGTTTTTGGAAGGCGGGAGAAACATTTTTCTGTGGGGAAGGGTTGAAGAGGCACTGTGACAAAGTCTGCAGCAGCTTTCTTGGCTCCTGTCATATGCCGACGTGTGTCGGAATATTTATGGTCTGTTTTATGTAAATACATATTTAAGGGCCGTTAGAAGGCCTGATTATTCCCACTAGATGCCTTTCAGGTCCTCCCTACAGAACCGTTTTGAAATAAGTAATATTTCTCAGATAATCGAGTGACAGTGTACAAGACTGCTTCCAAAGGGAGAGCTTAAGGGGCAGATGGGGCAGTGAGGGGGGTGGGGAGGCCAGCAGAGAGGATAGAAAGTGTTCAAAAGAGCAAAGTAATAGGATGCAGTGGCTTTTGGTCAGATTTCCAAAATTAACCATGTATATTCTAGTTTTTTATTCTTAAAATTTAGAGTTAATTTCTGATGTGGTTGACTTATTTTTCAGTTCTCTTCATATAAATAAATTTTTCTCATAAAATGTAAAAAAAAATGGTTTAATTAAATACAACAGTAAAACTCCTAAATAGGCACTTAGCTTTAGGGGTTTTTTGGGGGGGTGGGGGGCCGAGTATGGGTGTGTGTGTGTGTCCTTTACTTAGAGTAGAAGTTTTATGACTGAGTTTTAGGTCAATGAAAAATCAGTTTTACAATGGAAACACTGACAATTTTTACTGTCGCAGCCACCCCCTGCTCACACACTGCATCCATATGCAGATATGTCCACATGTGAGAGCATTTGAAAGAGGGGCCTGCAGACATGGTGTAATGCACACGTGTTCTTTCCTTAAATCTGGGTGCTGATAGGCAGGATTTCTTTTGTAATTAAATATGCATTTTTGTAGACCAAAATGTAGCTATTTGGGTAAAGTATTGTCTCTCCTAGTAGATGATTTCCAGTTCTTGCCTGTTCACCTACCTGGCATCACAGGTGATTCGTGAGGTAGGTGTTGGGTTCTATGGAAAAAAGAAGGCTTTACTCAACAGGACTGACTTATTTGCCCTGGAGAAAAGGAGAAGTGTTTTGTGAGAAGCCGCTCATGGAGGATGTGTAATTCCCCAGGAAGGGAACTGAGGTAACTCCTGTTTATTGTCACTCCCTGAACCAGTCTCCAAGGCTTCTTGTCCAGGGAAATGATGCTAAAATTTATGGACCAATTACGAATAGTCCACGTGTGTCTTACATATATATGAAGTGTCTACAGATATATTTCCCAGGGCTTTTAAAATAAACATCTCCTCATTAAGGAAACTTTACAACAAAAGGGAAGATAAGTATTGTCTGCTGCCTTGTGCTAGAATCTATACATTTATTACTCCCTTAGCACCCTGGCTCTTATCATGTGCATTTCCTTGTTGTTCTCTGTTGGCCACCCCTGGGCCCAGATTCCTGCCCGGGTGACACAGGTTTTTGGTTTTGGGTTTTTTCTGTTTTGTTTTGTTTTCTTGGGGGGGGGGCAGCCTGCCAGTCATTCCACTCAGTCAGCCCAAATTGGAGTTGGCTATATGCATGTTCCCCAAAGGGCTAAGAGGAACAAGAACTGTCCCAGTTGGAGCAATGACTGGCCCTGCCTTCTGATTCATCTCAGGGACGGGCACTGGGCATTGACCCTAGAGTGGCCCTGTTTCCTTGGCCCTTGCCTGTGTCAGGCAGATTCACAGGTAGGCAGGAAACGGGGTGGCTCACAGCAGTTCCTGGATGTTCTGCTTTGCTCTCATCTTTGATGTATTTGAAAAGTCATTCTTGGGCCCAAAAAGCCCTGAGTAGGAGATGGTATTTTGTACTGGGGCGGGGGGGGGGGGGGAGAATGTGTCTTTATAAAGGCATGTATCATCGAAGACCCTGTGTCCTAACAATCAGATCAGCTGAGCCCACATAAGCCCAAGGGCAGCCTGGAATGAGGAGTCCCAGCTACATCATGGGGGTGGTATTAAGGGGGGATACTTCCCAAGGACTCTGGGACTGGAGTGGCCAGGGACCCTAACCTGGGCTTTTAGGAGAATTGCTCTTGCCGGGGAAAATGTTTGGGACAGTTGTCAGGTCACCAGGCTCAACTTCTGGATTGTAGCTGGAGCAGATGACCACCGTTGAAAGGGCCAGCGGATCACCAGAGGAGCTGGGTCAGATGGTTCCCTCCGTACTGACTGCCCAGACCTCGCCCAGTTGTCGCTCAGCTGCTCCCGGATTTCTCCTGGAGCCCCCTTTCTCCTCCCTCTGGGGATGGAGGGCAAGAACTCCTGTGATGTGTGGTTGTTTCTGGTTGTTCACTCCCAGCACAGTCATGGAGACTCCTTTTCATGCTGCTGGGTTTAATTGTCTTGTTGGGATAAAGAAATGTTTGCACAGCTAAAGTGGGGCCGGGCTGGACGGGAGCAGTCCCTGATGGCTGCAGAGCCATCTGGCCTGGCTTGGCTTGGCTCATCGCGCCGCTCGCCCGCCGCCCGCCCGGCGGCTGGGCTCGCTCCCGCTCCCGCTCTCGCTCTCTTCCCCTGTCCTCGCTCCACGCCGCGCCGCTCTGGTCGGCGGCTGCCTCCTCGCGCGGCCGGAATGCCTAATCACCATGGTGAGAAAACGGACACCGCAGCCGTCCTCCCTCCTCGCCTCGCGCCCTCCCTCCCATCAATTGTCAT